TGATATAGGGGTTTAGATATCTACAGTTTAAACCGGACGCGCTACATCGCTTGCACGTGAGACACCCCTGAAGGTGCACGGTAACCTTAAGTTTTAGCTTGGTTAGTGCATCCTCGTTTCAGTTTTTACGTAGCTGAAAACATGTTCCAGCCGAGCCCGCAATTGAACAGCAGAAAACGACATCATGACGTCAAAGGCTCAACAAACTTATACTTTGCTTTGTCACAACTCTCTTTTTTCGCTGCACAGAGAATCACACATATTACTTTTTTGAGAACTGTTTCCTTGTCAGTCGTGAAATGTCAACTTTCTCTGACGATGAATTCTCCCTGAAATCATCTGAAGCTTCTGTGGATAGTTTTGCGCCGGCAAACGATGAATTTGTGCCATCTAAATAAAGATAGACACAGAACGGCACGGACTCCCCATGTGGCTTTTGTGGTTGCATCGCTTTATCGCCTTCAAATTGTATTTTTGCTTGTCGTAAGGGATTTTCCTTTTTTGTAAGAAATGATCGCGTGATATATTAATATTGTTTTTGGCCATGGCTGATTGTGTATCAAGGCGGATATTGGGAGTTAATGAAAGCCATTTCCAAGCCATCACTGTGTTTGCCCCGATGCATTTGGTCAGTGATCTCATTAACCCTTTCCTGCGTGTTTTTTACTATCGGTGCCTTGAGAGGTTTCAAGTGAACTCTGTTGTTCAGTTGCACTTTGGCCTCTTTTGTTTTTTCCGTCTTCATGATGACTGTTGTTGTGTTGCTTTTGTGAGGTTTAAAGCAGAGTTTGTTTCAACTCTTTCAGAGCCGTGACCTCATTGCGTTACAAAGTATTTTTTGGCTTAGATACAGTCTGCAAGTTGCGTTACGACAATTTTCCTAGTAGCTCTGACGGGCAATAAAAGGATGAACCGATGGCATTCAGTTTGATATGAAACGGAACTGGTTCTTTGTTTAGTCCATGAAAGGTGTAGCGGAGGGGCATTCGTCTCGCGGATAAAAATCTAAGTGACACTCTCCCGCAACCGTTCGACTATCGAGTGATCTTTTTAGCATAAGACGTTGTTTCTTTTCGCCTTCCTTTATTTAAATTTTCCGAAAAGTTTCATCTTAGCCAGGAAATGTTATAAGAGAAGTTAAATGAACTTAATATGAACATTTACTTCATTTTTAAGTTAAAAAATCTTGTTATATTACGTTCCAGTTAGGCTGAAAACGGCACGGAAAAATCGCCTTAAACGAATACAAGCAGGATTTTACTACAATCCTAATCAAATCCTGTTTTTTTTGTGGATAACTTTTAGTTGTTTGTATTTACTTATTGCGACTCGAATTTTTCTCTTCACAGAATGCAGTACTGTTTCCCGCATTAATTTCTGTGAGCTCACATCATTAAACGTTGTTTTATTTACAATGGTTGAGGGTGTGAAAAATTTAAAAGAAAAAATGTTAAAAGAGAGCGCTACACTGGTACAACATGGCTACTTTTATGTCCCAAATAACCTCAAACTGCAGTGCAAGGTAAGATACTTCTAGAATTAAACAACTGTCCTCGGAAAAAAGTTTGAAAAACCTCACAGTAAACAGAATTGAATAATTTGATTTACTCGTGGAGTTTACTATAATCCAGGGGTTTCAATAAAGGCTGGTTACCGGCGGTATACCGCCGCCTGTAGGACCTCTCGGGGCCTTCGTCTGTTTGGATTTCATTCATGAAAATAAAAAGTGATTTTAGTGGTCACAGCCGCCTATTAAACCTTCAGTGGCCGCTTATAACTAATGTTATTGAAACCCCTGTAATCTGAACTTGTTTTAAACTTTCTCCTTGAGAGCAAATTACATGCACAATTTAAAATAAGGTTTGGTGAATTGAAACGTTCCAGCACTGTCGAAAAAAAATTGATAAGTGTATAATGCGCATATATCATATTGTTTATACTCATTTTAATTTTTTTTAGGTCGTTATTTACAAAAAGCCTTGGAAACCTTTTTTGTTGGACACTGGTCTATCTCAAGGTAAATGCCGCGGACTTCGAGACATTCGTCCGCCAATAGAGAAAATTTGATTTTCTTGAATAAAGAAGTTCATTCTCAGCACAAGGCTACACATGGCTTGTGGAAAACCTCTCCAGAGAGGGGGACGTGGTTATCGACGCAGAAACCCCCAATGACTACGCAATGGTGGCTGCGTTGAGGAAAGGGCGAAGCGCGGTTAGGATGGACAGTACCGCTTTGCCGTCCGAACAGACAGTAATAGAGACTAAAATTTATAGTCTTGTATCTTCATAGTTTATATCTCAATGACAATAAACTAGTTAAAGTAAAAAATTCAAAACCAAAAATATTTTTGGAGAAAAGGAATGTTGATTTTATTTCACCCAATACGCCTCACGCAATTCAACAATGGCCGTTTTCACACTAGAGACGGATAATCCGTCTC